TCTTTTGACCCTTAAGGTATCACTATGATTCTACGAATTTTTTTCTAGAAACTAAATCTCTGGCACATGAAATTGAAAACTTGTTCTGGCAATTAAATCCCACTCTGATTTTGGAAGAAAAAGCATGCAACAGTATTCTGTGAAAATGCCAGAGGTTCTGCAGAGATTCATGAACGGACACTTAAGTCTTTTTGTTTCCAGACAATTGTTACACAGATGGGTTAAGCCACCTAGGGAGCTTTAAAGGGTGGATTAGATAAGCAGAAGTGCTCCTTCTGACCGCCAAAAATCTTCTCTTAACATTGTCGAAAGGAGCAGCAGAGGAGAGCACAGTAAATCTCTCCAGCAGCTTAGGTGATGAATGAACAAATCTATACATGAACACAAATAGGGTATTGCTTCCCAATATGGAATTTAGGAAACTTCATCTCAGCTTTTCCTTAATGTAAACACAGGCTATAAGCCCAGGATTTATCCTGGTTTGGTACTACAAAACCATTTACTCCACTGAGCACTTGATTTTTCCTCATGTACTGGGTATCTTCCTCTATTAATTAAGCTTTAGTTTTGGTTCAGCTAGAAATCTTCCCCTTTAAAGATTTGTGAGAAAGATCTTGGGTGGTTTTAGTAGTTTGACTTCCCCAGGTATAATTACAGAGGCAATGACAAACACATTATTGGGATGGAGACCAGAATTATGCCTGAACCCTGTAAGTGAAGCAGCATATTTACATTTGCAAATACTGAATCTCTACACAGAGTCTTTGTACTTTGGATGGCTTGGCTGACACTGGACTAGGACCTGGCTTCTTTTATCCAAGTGTCTCCAGACATGAGCACTGGAAGTCTAGAGAAGGGCTCAGGTACTAAATGTGGACGTCTAGCCTTGCTGTAGACATCCTAGCATCCATGCAGGGCTTGCAGATTTCACAAAGGACCTCTGGTAGACCCTTTGGAACCTCCATTGGAGGACAGGCAGCAAACATCACTAAGTGCTTGCAAGTCCTTGGAGTTGCTCCCTGGGGTCAAGTTTAGCTGGTATGAGTGTGTGAGGGGGTATATACTTCCTCTGAGTTGGGCAATAGCTCCAGGTTGACTTTAGCTGTGCAATATCACGCCTCAGGCTGAGGAAGGTAAGAGGATCAAAGACATCTGTCACACCAGTTTCAGCCTCACCAGAGACTCAGTGAGTTTGCTTTGGAAGGAATGGAGAATGAGATAAATCTATTCATAATACAAGCTGAGTGTGAAACCAGTTTAGGATTTCTACTGCAGCTTGTTTGGAAGAAAGGCATGGGTCAGTCTGAATAGCGTTTCAACAGCTCCTGTGCTTTCAGCTGAAAGACAGCCTTCAGTAAAGATTAAATTAGGCAGGGTGGACAGCTCAGAGTACCATGATTTACTTCTCAGTCTTTCCTGCAAATAGAGGTCATAAATATCAATACGGCATCTCCAACGCATCCGCCAACTCATTAAGACAGAATAACAGGAAATATAGGTCACAGTGCTGTGGTTGTAATAGCTGACATTTACCAAGACTGCTGTCCGCAAACTTTCATAACAGCATGCAAATATGCGAAGGAACTTATTGGAAAAAGACCCCAGTATGAGAACAAAACCAGCCGACACTGAGCAAGAATGAGAAATGAGTGTTTTGCAAAACAGGTGCTGCTGAAGCGGCTTGCAAAAAACAAACCTTGGATTTTTATCTGCTTGAGATAAGAGCATTGCACAGATTGAAAGGGAGAAAAACACACTAATTTGGAGAGAGGTGCATATGTAGCTCTTCAGAAGGTATGGTACTCATTATGAGAGAGAAGCAGAACAGCTTCATCAGTTCCTCCTCTTCTCTTTTGTATTCATGTACTCCATGACAATGATGTACCCTGGTTCATCTGTATTTTATACAGGGATCTATCATCAAGCTTTTTATCTCTCCTGTTGTCCTCTCCCTAACAAACGATCTCTGAAATCTATTTCCAAAACAATAACTGGGAGCATGGGAGGTGGGGAGTGGGGTTGAGGGAATCAGAACGTACATTAGGCCGTACTCTGTCTGCATAGTTGGGAAAGAGACAGTCTCGTCAGATTTTTCAAGCCAGGGCAGAGCTGGGATAGAAGAACTACAATTCAGGTGAAGGGACAGAGAATGCATCATTAGGCTTTGTGGATCAGGCTTTTTCTGAGATCATGCTAATAAAGAAGGATGGCTATTTCCCTAAGGTGCTGACAACTGGCAACTAGACAGGTGAAAAGTGTTTATCTCAGTAGTAGAACTTGGTCTGCACCTGCATGTGATTTTGAGATGGTTTCTAAAAGCCAAGATTTAGTCCAAACTTCCCCCATGGGAAGAAATTAAGACTTCTTAACCTGGGAGCTAAGCTGTCTTTAGTATTTCTACAAAGTTTAGCAGTGTGGTGAGTGAACACGGATGAAGCAAATATTAATCTAAACTCTCAACCCCACACAATAACACTTTTTCAGTTTATAAATGTGAACTGAATCTCCGATTCAAGCCTGTGATTGTGAAGTCCAATCGAAAATGCAGCCAGAGGGCTGCTGAGAGCCCCAAAGCTGCATCTTGGCTATAGTGTGTCTTCAATGATCTCTCATATGTTCAGCATTAGAGTACTACAATGCCCATAGCATTTTACAATTACCCATGAACAAAGATTTAGGAAAGGACCTTCCCAAAGAATCAGACTTCAAGAGCTGGACAAAATGAGGTGTATGCCTAGAGTACAAGTTGACAAAGCTAAATGTGAAAAAAAGTTTTTAACCACAGGTAGTGTTTTGATATGCATGGAAAATTCTAGTCTAGATGACTTGTTAGCAGAATTTGAAGCAAGAAAACAGAAATAAACCCCAGGTGTCTTATATCTGCAGCTTTCAGTTGCCCAAGTCCCTCTTCTGCAGGGCAAAATTTAGTAAAAAAATCTTGCACTGCACTGTCAGGTGGTGGAACATAACAAAACATTTGTTTGTTTCATCTTTCCCTGAATGCAGGGAAGTGCATTGCCACTTGGAAGTGGCTTTCCTAGCTTTCTCCTGTAGGAACCCAATTAGCTAGACTGATGGCAAATGTGGACACCCTTAAGACTTGGTAATTCATCCACTTTACCAGGACAGGTGGATGAAGTGGGATTTTGAATGCCAGTGGTGGATTTGACTACACATTTGCAGAAAAGGCCCCTGGGCTGCTCAAGTTCTTTCCAGACACATTACATCTCCCAGCAGTGAAGCAAGGAGTGCTCTCTCTGCCTGTTATACACATTCCTGAATGCATCCAGGCCAAGGTCCACAAGGAAGCCCAAAGTGCAGAGTAGTGTTGAATGAGTTGTTACAGAGAGGAATGACTAGGTTAGATATGGACATCTAGGGTGTGGATGCCCACATAAGCATCATCTGAGATGCTCTGGGGATCCTGCTTGACCAGTGTCTGTGTCTCCCACACAACATAAGTCAACATAAGTCTCACGTAGCTCCTGCATCATCTGCTGTGGATGCCTTGGTTCTTTAAAGTTGTCCTAGCACAAGATCCCTATGGTAAGGCAAGCTTCCCACTGGAATAATGGAAAAGCCTCCATACCTAAGTGTCTGTATGTTAAGATTGAAGGAACTATGTGTAACCTCATCTAATGTCTCTTCTCTTGTCTTCTCCATTTTCAGATGTTACTCCATCTCCTTCAGTCTACAGGCTGATCTCTAACGATGATGAGGATTTGGAAATGTGCCTTATCACAGATTATGCCCCTGAAAAGCTTTCTAACTCATCTGATAAGCAGACAAATACTGTTGTGGAGGTGGCAACATCTGAGAACAAACAGGAAGCGAGCTACCTGTCAACCTACTGGGCCAGGAAAGATGAAATGCAGTGTGGTGCAAATTACGAGGGCTTTGGAGAACTGGAGGGCGAGGATCCTGAAAGTGGTAATGGCATTGTTCAATGTCTGTGCAGGGCTAGTGGTACTCTGGTGTCTGTGCTATTAGTACGAGCAGGATGTGTTCACATCTCCCAACCCTGCAAGCGAATTATGCTCCCACATGCCAAAGGAACGTTGCCTTGTTGCCTCCATTGTTTTTTGCCTTCCTCCTTGGTGGAAACAAGAGTGTCAGTAGTCTGGTACAGTCACAGAAGAGAGATCTTAAAATCACACTGTGGAGGATATAAAGCTTGAAATTCCTGTGTCTGATGGGACACTAAAATCTACTCTGCTCTGGTGAGACTTCACCTGGAGCTCTGCGTCCAGCTCTGGAGCCCTCAGCACGAGAAGGACATGGAACTGTTGGAGTGGGGCCAGAGGAGGGCTACTAAAATGATCCGAGGGCTGGAGCAGGTCTCCTATGAGGACAGGCTGAGAGAGTTAGGGCTATTCAGCCTGGAGAAGAGAGGCTGCAGGGAGACCTGATTGTGGCCTTTCAGTACTTAAAGGGAGCCTATAGGAAAGATGGAGAAAATCTTTAGCACGGACAGCTGTGACAGGACAAGGGGTGATGGTTTTAAACTGAAACAGGGTAGGTTTAGACTGGATATAAGGAAGAAATTCTTTACAATGAAGGTGGTGAAACACTGGAACAGGTTGCCCAGAGAGGTGGTGGAGGCCCCATCCCTGGAAACATTCAAGACCAGGTTGGCTCGGGCTCTGAGCAACCTGATCTAGTTAGCGGTGTCCCTGCTCACTGCAGGGGGGTTGGACTGGGTGACCTCTATGGGTCCCTTCCAACCCTAAACATTCTATGATTCTATGATTCTAATTAGACCATATTTTATGCTTGCCCTGAAAACAGGAGAAATGAACGTTTATGGGAGGGCTTACTGGTCAGAAACTCTAATCCAGCCCTTCTAAGTAATCTTTATGATCTTCTGAAGACATACATTTCTATTATTAATTAAATTTATTGTTACTCTCTGCAGGTGCCAGTGCTGTCTGTGTTACAGGAGTGTCTCTGCACTTCAGGACAGGTATGTGCACAGCATTTTAGGAGTAAAGCTCGGCCTGATGAAAGGATATTTCTTCCCAAGTTTTTGCTAATGTTCCCTGTTTGCACAATCCCTGCTGGAGCAAAAAGCTCAGACTGAAAATTTCCAAAAAGGCCCCATGGGCTTTAAACATCAAGGCTGGAACTCATAGGGTTAATGCAGTCTTCCAGATCTAAGCTGGTGATTTTAAGCCACCAGTGTACCCAGTGCCTACATGTTCTTGCTAGGACTGAGCAAACAACTGCTCCCCATCACAAAATGATTTAAGGTAATGCTATGAGTCAGCCTTACAGGATGTCTATCTGCATTTCAGACTTCAAAAGAGTTGTTTTTATTTTTGGGTGCACAAACACCCAGTGAAAAGATAAGCGGGTGGTTTCTGCAGGGTTGCACTGAAGATGTGGTGCCTCTGAGTAAGCTTTGCTTCAGCTCCTGGCTGTGGGAGCTCGTGGAGCTTGTGCCGGTTCTGGAGCTCAAGCAATTGCTGCTCCTGCTCGTTCAAAGGAGCTGAGCCTGCCTCTGCGCTTGCCCTGTTTGCAGAATAGCCGTGCTTTTGCAAACGTGCAGCCATGCTGGAAAGAAACCGGTTAGCCAAATGTTTACAAAACACCACTTCAGAAAAACACTCATTGGTAAACTCGGCTGATTTGATCAACCATTTCAGAGAGAGGTTTTCAAAGCTAAACATAAGCTGACTTTTTGATGACAGCTCCCTGCTTCCCCCATATAGATCAATGTATTTTCAAAGAAAATGGCTTTGTAACTTAAGATTAATAGAAAATCCAAATAGACTTTTTGTTCTTTGAATAAAATTTAGCTTGTTTCCCCCCTGCCCATCTTAAAAAAAATTAGGGAGAGGAAGGAGGGACACCTCCAGCATCCTGTGTTCATAGCACACTGCATTTAAAAGCAGCTAGATGGCTGGCAGACTCACATACTGGCTAATTAAGTGGTTATTGAATGAAAACCTCTCTCCTGAAACACAAATTGGAAGAAATTGAAGTGCCTGGGTGAGAAAGCCCTGCTGACTACCTGTTAGCTGTCCTACCCAGCTGTGCAAAGTGGAACAGCTTCATGAAGAAGCGCTTTTAAGTCTGCCTGGAAGTGAGGAAGTCTCAGTGTTCTTGCGACCTTCATTCTCTCTTGCTTTTACAGATGAAAACCTGAACATGCTGTCCTTATCACTGCTGGGCCTGAAAATAATTTTAATGAAAGGAATAATTGTTAATGTGGTGATGACGATGCTTATGGGGAAAAAAAGGTGAGTATGCCTGGAGGGTGGGAAGGGCTCTGACAGAAAGCATTTGGGTCAGCTCAGTAGCTACGAACGTTCCTCCTCGCTGTAGTAACCGTTTATGCAGTCTGTTTGTACGCCTTTTGTCTACCAACAGTAAAATCCCTCCACGCCTTTGGCCATATAATTGGTTTCGCCCACCCTTCAGGTCTATTTTCCTTATCCACATGTAAATTTAACTTTTTTCTTCTTTCTAGGTATCTCTCCCTTCTATTTCTACACCCGTCCCTTCCTTTGTCTGCATTCACCCACCAGGTTCATCCCCTCACCAGTGTCCAGCAGGGAAAGTTTGATGATTATTGACTTTAAGATCTCAGACCTAATATAGTAGTTTTGGCCCAGTGACTCTTTCTGCTCTTCCTATAGTCTGAACACTTCAGGTCTACAGTCATGTAGCTGCGACTGTATCCCAAATGATGATCTAACACACCTTTATTTTTGTTACAGGAATGAAAGTAAACAGATGGTGCAGTCCTGAAGTACCAAAAAAAACTCTGCCGAGGAACTCTTACCAGAGCATCATGCGCAAGAGGGAGCAGAGGAATTC